GTGTGTGTGTGTGTGTGTGTGTGTGTGTGTGTGTGTGTGTGAAAGAAAAATGTAGATAAACCAGGACAGAAAAATGTGAGATTCAGTTCAGTGTTAACAAGGTAGATGTGAACACAAAGAACTTTTTTTTTTTTACTTTGCAGAAAAACAAACTTTGTTATCTTCAACAGAAATGTGCATCCACAGACCTTGTCTGTCTCTCTCCACTGAAGGACATCAGCTTGATAAAAGATTTACGTTCTTTTTACATGGGAAACTTTATGTGCAAAGTCAACAAACTAAGTATGAAGATTTCACCTTCGATAAAGAAATGAGTTATAGTTTTTTAGAAAGCCCTGATGATCATCTAAAGTTTGGAGTTTACAGTGGAGGTGTGACATGTTAACATATCGTTATAACCCCAGAAGACAAAATAAAGCGAAGCTGATGAGATTTTTTTCCCCTTTTTTAGTTTAGAAAGTGATGGTTTATATGTGTTGAAATGTGGGTCTGTGTCAAGGTTAGGAAGAGTTTTTAATTTATCTGTTGTATTTCTTGATCAAGTTTCACTACGACTGAATTGACAAACTAACAGAACAACCTTATCCTCATATATATATATATATATATATATATACACAGCTATTTACAAAAAGCTGCATGACCATTTACAGCTCGTCCAGTGCAACCTGGAGCAGGATTAATATGATATTTTCACCAGAATAATTACATAATAAAGAATTAGAGTTGCTTTAAGACAGCAGCAATCCACTTTGGTCTTGGTCCAGCTCAGACCAGCTGTTAACCCATCAGTCGGGTCAGATTGATTTTGTACTTTTCCAAACTGGTTTACTTAAAGAGCTGTCTTCAGCAGAGTCGGAGTCCTTATTTGTCCTTCGCGTCTCATGTGGTACATGTGGTGGAACGAAATTATGTACATCCAACAATAAAATGTAAAAGAAAAACAGTAATAAGATCTAAGATATACAAGAAAAAACATCAGCTAAATATACACCAAGCACTAATAGCATAAAAACATTACGTCGAACAACAGCACGAGCATGAGTCTGTGTGAGCAAGTATGACACTGACTGTTCAGAACAGTTCCACAGAACCGCACATCAAAAGATCTGATCTATCCTTTTTATTTGAGCTCAACCCCATTTAACCATGCACTTTAGTACAAATATGTGCTAATCCAAACCAAGGCTTGTGACATATTCACTCACAACTAAACAGATTGACAACTTATGTTTAAATAGTTTGAACGACATAAAATGTACACAATACGAACAACAAGAGACATTTGATTATTTAAGCAAAGGATGAAAAAAAACTATTCAATTTTTGAAAACGCGAACAGAAGAATTTTCCAGGGTGGAATAAACGAAAACAGATAAAGAGTGGTGTTCTGTTAATATGATGGAGGGATGGTTTTTGTGGTTGGGGGTCCAGCAGGTGAAGACATAATTGTGGTTAAGGCATGCTTAATCCTGTCAGGAGGAGGATGCGGGTACCAGCAGGAGAAAAAGGACTTCAGAGAGTCTGCTGGATCTTATCTACATGGTTCCATACCATACCTGCAGGTCAACTCCCCTGAGGCATCAGCCAATCACATTCCCTGACTTCAGTGAATTATTTATTTATTTTATTCTCCTAACTTATTCCTCAACAACATACATGTCAGTAATGGCAAACAGGTCTGAAGCATAAAGTCAGAACAAACTGTCTGAATAATTTTCATTTACATTTCCCCTACGTGTTTAGAACTCTATCCATCCACATCAGATCTAAAACTGTCCAGCCTAATATGCATTACGTGCCAAAAGATGTGATTTAGTAAACATACGTCTGAGTGAAATTTCTTATAAAAAAAACATACAGAAATGTTATATTTATTTTAATTTTTGACCTGACCATCAAACTCATAATGTAGCAAATGTCTCCTGAAAAGTTCTTTAAAACAAATCTCAATTTGGAGAATAAAAAAATCCTGATGCATGCTCAATAATCCAGGTAGAAAAATCCAAAAAAGTTAAATCTGGCAAACTGGTTGATCCACTCTGAGAAGGTGCTATTTAAGAGACTGAGCTGAATACAGCACCTCAGACTGAGGAAGTCTCTCGGATGAGAGACGAAACGTTTCTACATTTTTTTTTCTTTGTTTTTTTTTTTTTTTGAATGTCCAGAGGACCAGATTGAATTTTTTGGAGAATAAAAAAAAGTTTAAACACTTTAAAATTTTGGTTATACTCAAATTTATTACCTGATACTTCAATCCTTTGATTGAATCACATGGGTCATGAATTTTAGCCATTTAAATCAAAACTATTCTCGGTTCAAGGATTAGTTGAGGTATGCGTGGATGATTTAGCAGCTATTTAAAATGATGTTTGGGATTTTCATATGTAAAATAGCATACTTTTTGTTTCATAAGTTTATTTATTTATTTATTTTTACTCTGGATTGATTTTAGATACTGTTTGATAAAAAATAAATAAATAAAAAATAAAGTTTCATCCATTTTACGTCATCCGGGGCCATTTATTTTCAAGCGCTCTAATTCGGTGAAACATTGCCCCCTGGCGGTGGATACTTGAGCCTGCAGGCCTTTTCCTCCGTCTCGGTAAAGTAGACGTGGCAGTGACGTCACACCGAAAATTACCCGGATCGGAACTTTAACTACACGGTTGAGTTCTTACCAGAACCATTGAGGACTCTCGAAACTGGGTGTGATGTCGATTCAAGTGAGTCGAAACAGACATTTGTTCTCTTTTAAATAAAAATAAACGTGGTGGTGTTGGTTTAGAGCGAAGTTAATGCACGGTAACGGTGAGGGAACAGGGCGAAAAGCCTGCTAGCTTTCTTTAGCCGACGTTAGCCGGTTAGCCGGTGAGGCCGAGATCAGCTGTGCGTCGTAATGGTTCTTCCAAGTCCAGAACATGTCATTCTTATCTATTGATATTAATACTTAGCTCTTCTGGGATTGTGTATGAATCAAAGTTATTTATCTTTGTACCGGTCCTCTTGTTTCGCTCTGTTTACGGTTGATGAAGCTGATCAACAGAGTAACGGATGTTCTTTTCCTTCCTTGTCGCAGACATGTTTGTCCATATGTTTATGAAGAATACCCCCCCTTGGGTGTGAGAAGGGTTCGTGTTTGCTCTTCATCAGGCAGACTTGAGGAGGACCCTGCGGTCTTTGGTTCGGAACAGCCTTGCGAGGTGACACTTTTACCGGCGTCAGGATGACGTGCCGTGACCGAACCATCGAGTTTCAGTCGGCCTGTAAATCTCTCCAGGGCAGACAGGTATGTTGGAGTAAACTAACAGCACATTAATGACTGTATTGTTTAATGTTAAAATCAGGCTAAGTTATCCCAATGTTCATGTCTAGCTCAAGTGCTTGATTATCCTTTAATAACTTCATATAAATGTTTGGTTACTTTTGGTTTTGCTTTGTTTTTTGTTTATTTTGTTTTGGTGTCTTGTTTGTGTTCCACCTCTGTTAATCTGTCATGGTATGGTTCTTGATTGGCCTGTTTTGGACATTATTATAATCACAAACAAACAGCACTCAAGCAACTGCATAATTCAATTCAGATCAGTTTATTTATACAGCGCCATGTCACAACAGAAGTCGTCTCAGGGCGCTGAACAGAAACATTCATAAAATAATAATTTAACACTATTTCTCTGAGGAGCAGACTGCTCGCAGAACTCTCATCTTGAGCGAGCATGAAGGTGACAGTGGAAAGGAAAAACTCCTTCACGAGGAAGAAACCTTTAGCAGAACCAGGCTCATTAAAAAAACTGCACACTTTGTTAAAACAGAACACTCATATTAATATTATAGACAAGTTTGGGGGGAGGGAACTCAGCATGGTTTAAAATGGTAACACAAACAAGAAATTACCGTCTGGTAATTTACAAAACTCTTAACCCAACACATGATTTTTTTATTTCATGACCTTTTATTCTTAGTTTAAATCTCATGATTTATTCTTTATTTACCCCTCTCAGAATGGAGTCCAGCCCAGTAAACCAGCTCTTAATGCCCTCAAGCAACGCAGCGACTTCACACTTATGGCCAAGTAAGATCCTCGCAGCCTTCTTATGCGTTTGCATTTTAGAAATATTCTATTTGTCTTACTGCATGTTAAGTAGACTAAGTGATCAGTTTCTGTTAGTGCATGGTTAACTATAGAGTCAAAGTTACATGTGATATAATCTTTTAAATCTATTTTAAACTAGCAACATTTAAATTTCCTCAATATGTGAATACTTAAATAACTTGCATCTATGTTTTTCCCTTGTAGGAGAATTGGAAAAGACTTAAGCAATACATTTTCCAAATTGGAAAAGCTCACTATTTGTAAGTGTCTCGTTTTATATTCCTTCAGCGGGAAAACTGTTTTGTATTGTTCAAAGTACTCATTTTTTGCTTGTTGTTGCTTCGATGTTCTAGTGGCCAAAAAGAAATCTTTATTTGACGACAAGGCAGTGGAGATTGAGGAGCTAACCTACATTATTAAACAAGTGAGTTAAGTTAGTGTTGGGTTTATAATATTTTTCAAACGATTGCCGATGTTTCATTAAGACTCTGATTCCTGCTTTGTGTTTATGTTTGCAGGACATTAACAGTCTGAACAAACAGATTGCACAGCTTCAGGACTTGGTGAGGTCTCGTGGTGCTCCGAGTGGCCGGCACATCCAAAGCCATTCTAACACAATAGTTGTATCATTACAGGTATTCTAAATTCATAAACTTCTCATTTGTTTTAGATATACATAAACAAAATTAGGTCAAAAGAAGTGCAGGCTAAAAAAAATGTAGATACATAAGTTTCAAATACAAACATTTTAAAGTTATTTTACTTAATTTTGTCTTATTTTACTAAAAAATACTCCTTTAGATTTGGTCTGCATTAAACTGAATTCAACTGAAATGTGTATTTTCTTGTTTTCAGTCCAAGTTGGCTTCAATGTCGAATGACTTCAAATCCGTGCTAGAAATCAGAACTGAGGTGAGAACTGAATTTTACTCAAATGCAAAAAGCACATTTAGAAGTAGAGTTTTGAATTCATTTGACTTTTTCTTTATAATTTTCTGTCGTTCGGCTCTTCCGTAGAACCTGAAGCAGCAGCGTAGCAGGAGAGAACAGTTCTCCCAGCCTCCCGCGTCGTCTTCACCTATGATGGCAAACAACTTCAGTAAGTCCGAGTGCGTCTTGGCTTCAAGCCTGCTGTCACGAAAAATCAATCTTACAGGTGTCTCGTTTTAAATTTGTGGCAACAAAACGGCGTGTATGTGTATCTTCATTCTAACGTGAACACGTCTAAACCTCTGATTATTGGCTGAGAGAAAATACTTAAACATTTTGTATCGTTTGAGCAAATATGAAAACAAGTGTTGATGCTGCTAGTTTTTTTTTTAGCCGAACACACCTTTATTGTTGTAGGTGTTGTTACACGTCTGCTTGCTGAACGCTTTGCTTTAACGGGCTACTGAACAAAGATCGTCCTAAAGCCCGGGGAGCTCTCGTCCACAAATGCTTTCTATAAATGACGTTAACCTGCTAAATAAATGGTGTTTCTACAAATTAATTTGGACTGAATTTGGAACAGTTCCTCGATGTAAACACATTGAACCGATGGCTGTGAAGTTTAGTCTGCCTAAATTAATGGAGCTTCATTATGATCTGTTTGTTTAAAACATCTAGTTTTCTACAACTTCAGGTAGTATCTTACTGAACTGTCAAAAGTCGAGTTGGTAATTCAAATTGTGATCAAATTGACAAATTACATTGAATTATTGAAAATCTTGAGATTTTTTTTGAAAACCATGGTTTATTTTCAAGTGAATGGCTTGCAAAAATGTACCCGAGACCACACACATCACTTTGTTGTCCACGTCTGACGCAGCTAAGCCTGCTTTGTAATTTACAATTGTAATTTAATTTACTAGAGATCACAGACTACACAGATTGAGCTTGTTGCAGCTCCTTAGACTGAAGAAGTCTTCTGGATAAAAGACGAAACATTTCAACAAAGAAGAATCCCGCCAGAGGACATGACTTAATCTTTAGTCAGGTCCAGACTTAACAACTTAACTAGAGTACACTTTGAAAGGCCTTTTTTTTTTTTTTTTTTAGTAAATATTATTTGGGGAGCCTCAGATGTTTTGACTCCATTGCAGGTTTACAGGTGATGACACTGAGAATGTTTTGAGCGGACGTGTCATACTTTTATTTATTTTGAGCATGTTAAAATGTAAGCAAAAATCCTGCAAGCCTCTGCAACTCACACAAGCAAATTGAGAAGCCCTGTGAACATTTTGAGACATTTTGGAGATTCCTTCATAAATACAGTTTGCCAACTAGTCGACAAAAGTATCAGTCCGGTGAGATACTACCTTAACAGATGATGGTGGAGCCATTCAGTCTTTTGCCTCAATTGTGCATTAATTGTCCATTAAACCTCAATGATCAAATAGTTAAAGAATGTGCTTAAATAGAGCCCAATTGCTTTCCAATGAAAACAATGAAAACAATATTCCAATTACAATCAAATGTTGTGCGATTAAAATTTATTGCATATCTGCCCTGAGCATGCTGCTTCGTTCCTTGACAAGCTGTGGTAGGGAACTGCTTAGTCCTTGTGAATGATTATCACTGTATTTGGTCCTCTGTAATGCAAAAATTAAAAAATATTTTAGGGAGCCGCAAAAAAGGGGCCCAGGAGCCGCATGCAGCTCGCGAGCCGCGCAATGACTACCAGGGCTATACAACCACAAATTTAAAAGGTATTTCCCTGGAACGCTTGCCTCTCACAGCGGGCATGACTAGCTACTGTGTATGCCCGCTGTTTTTTTCTGCTTTGCCCCTGTTAAATTCAGACTTGCGTTCCAATCTTGTTGATCATGGGTGTGTTGTTTTACCTGTTGTTCCTTTCAGAAAGCTCAGTCCTGATGCAGGATGAGTCTCGGAGCATGGGGGACGTAGCCATCGATGTGGACTCTCAGAGCACCTCATTAATGCTCATTGATGAGCAGGTAGACTGTTACATTTAGACAAATACTATTTCAAGATGGACGTGCAGTGGTGGTTTCCTTGCTGAAGTATTAAACAGGAACACTCGGTCATTTTTTATTATGTTGATTGTTTTGCCATTCAAGGACTCGTACATCCAGAGCCGTGCAGACACCATGCAGAACATCGAGAGCACCATCGTGGAACTGGGTTCTATATTTCAGCAGCTGGCACACATGGTTAAAGAGCAGGAGGAGACGGTCCAGAGGTGAGGTGGAAAGAGTGAAAAACAGACTGCATCATTTATTTCTAGTTCTGTTGACCAGTGAAATCACTTCACAGTGCAAGGACGGCATTTTGCACATGTTCACATGAGCTGACATTTAAAAATTAAATAGGTAGTAAACTGGACTGTTTGGTAAATGAAAATAAATGACCAGAAGATTAGTAAATAATATATAGACATCGAACATTCTGTCATGGCTGAAAACGTTACAACATTAGGATGAATTTATCAGGAGTAGAAATCTTGAAGCACCTCACAACTCTGTTTAATTTTACTATTCAGGAGGCTGCAGCGTGAATATATAATCATCTATGCATTCTTAGTACTTTGAAACTGAAGGACCACGTCTTATTTTACATAATTTACATATTTTCATGATTAATAAAGAGTGCAGAGTAACAAATGTCGAATATATAAAAAAAAAACAATAATCGCAGGTTGTTTACTAACAATTAACACAGATTTGAACAGAAAAGCTAATGCAGTTAGCCTCGTCATTGGAAATGATTACGCAAATCAAATATTTCAAAGTTTTCACTAATGCCAGTCATGTTATAACTTTAACTATTTACAAACGCATTTTCTTCAGGGTTCAGTAATGAAACTAATGACAAATATGTGAAAAAAGATTTACAATGTGGTTCTACAGGAAGCTACAGTAACTTTTAGGACAAAGGTCGCTGCGCAACAACTGCCAACTTTCAAAGTATCACAAAAATGAAACGTGTTCAAAGCCGTGTGTTTTATGAACCGTATCTCATCTTCATCATTCTTAAAAATGACAAAAATGAAATTTGACGGCCATGTCTTCCTTCCTTCTCGCCTCCTCGCAGGATTGATGCCAATGTGGAGGACACACAGCTGAACGTTGAGGCCGCTCACACGGAAATCCTCAAATACTTCCAGTCGGTCTCCTCTAACCGTTGGCTGATGATCAAGATCTTTCTCGTTCTTGCCATTTTCTTCATCATCTTTGTCGTCTTCTTTGCCTGAAAATAAAGACCAGCTGAAGGGAGGGGGGAAACGTACCGAATCAAAGCTAAAGTTGGACCGGGACATGCATCATTATCAAAGGACGGACTTCTTTGCAAGGGTTTAACGGAGGCTTGTGATTAAAACTAATACGGACCTTTCGGTTACTTCCAAGCCATGGACTCTTGATTCAACTGTTTGGTGACGAATGACCCAAATAAAATTGTGTGTGGAGCAAAAAGCCTGCTCTGTATCGACCAACTATTGTTAAACATTTATTCAAAATGGCTGTAATTTAATAGTTTGATTCTGCAAACTTTTTTTTTGTTTGTTTGTTTGTTTACCCACTTTATATCATATTTTTTTAATTACTTCAAAGCCAAACAATAGAACTGGACTCTGCGCTTCTGTTATTTTGCCTCCATCGTCTTTTTAGCAGCAGATTTTGTCTTGTTCTCAGCAATTCTTAATTCACCACTTTTCATTTGAGTTTTTTTTTTTAAATCTTTATTCCAGTTAAATGTTGTTCCTTTCCAAGTTGTTTTTGCCAAATGGGTACTCTTAAACTGTGACATAAAGCTAAAATGCTCGAGAAGGCAGAGCCATCTGAACTGAACTTAGTCATACAGAGGTTGGTTATATTAAAATAGCATTTTAATGGAAACCGACTAGGACCAGTCAGGCCGGTTTGAAGTGATTTAAAACTGCCACAGAGCGTGTCGGCGCTTATGAAGGGGTTTCTCTGGATGGAGACGACCCGCTAATGAAGTGATTTGATCCACCAGATTCCCTGGAAGTGTCTGGTTGGATCTCAGTTGTAGTTTCTCCCTGTCTTTTTCTCTAATACAATTATTTAAACAACCATTACTTTCAAAAGAAAATAATGGTTTCTATTTTCTCCCAGTTTTTTAGACAAACGCCTTGACTTCCTTCATTGTAAAAAGTGCAAATAGTTATGATGTATTGAAGAGAGTGCACAATAATAAAATAAAAATGGGATGCTGGCACTGATGTTTGAGATCTTCTTGGGATAAGAGGATGGGAGTGATGTCACAGGAGCCGCCTCATATTCAGTTTGACACCACAGAGGAACGTTGCCTGTGTTGAGATGTTCCTCAAGTTGTGCCTTGACCTTCATCAACAAGCTTCTGGTGGAAATCTGTTCTCCCTACAGACTGAACGTCTAAGCTGCTCGTTCACACTCAACTTTTGTCTTCATGGTTACAAATGTGTACATATATATTTAAATATAGTCAAAGCAGAACAGACACATTTATGAAAAGGCACGGCTTTAATCATAGAAAACGATGTTTATTTCAAATACATTCACAATAAAAAAAAGCTGACAGTTTTAACTTCTTGCAATGGTTTTGTTCGAACTGAACTGAGAACAGAAGCTGCAAATGCTGGACGAGCCTCCCTGTTATGCTTAATGTGTTTGAAGGAACATTGCATGAGATGTTTTCATTAATCATCAGGGGTTCTTGCATTTTATTTAATTTTTGAGCTATCCAAAGACTGCACATGGTTCGAGAGTCGTCATGGTTAAATTCTTTACATAATGATTTTACACAGCTATTGGGTGTTGAATCAGAAAAGGATTAAATTTAATATAATACCTCGCTCGTTCAAATACTTGCTGGTGAACCTGCTAAACTAACCTGAGCTACCTTTTTTGGTTGATTTTGTAATAAATGCAAATGTGACTTTTTTTTACAGCTAAAGTAGAGACAATGTTGAGGAATAAATTCAGCCTGCTCCTTGTCAGCGTGTTATTTGCTGTGGGTAAAAACTGTTTGGTTCTTAACCACCAGCTCAAAATAAAAGCCTGAGCTCTTTTTAAAATGGTTCTAAAACTCATTAGCAGGTAAATGGCTGATCATCTTTGTATTTATTTGATCACCCATGAGCACTCTGTTCCAGTGGGGTGATCTCTGGCATGCTCTTGCTCCTTCCCTTCCGCGCCCTGACCCTCATGGCCTCCTCCTCTCCTCCTTCATCCTCCTCGTCAGACCAGTCCATCTGCTGCTGCAGATTGGCCCTGGAGCCTCTCAGGCCGCTGCCCCTGAACATCTGCCCCGTGCAAAACTTCGAGCGGAAAGTAACGAAGGAGAGACTCTTGCTGCGCTGCTGCTTCTCGTAAAACGCAGCCGGGGCGTGCCCGTTGTCGTCCGCGTTAACCTCGTCCACACAGCTGCGCAGCACTGTGCGAAACAGGCGGGGGACCTCGTGGACCTCGGGCTCCATCTGCGACACCAGCCTCCTGAACCTGCAGAGGGAGGAGCAGGTTTCGATCAGGGTTATTTAACAACCAGAGTGAAACAAACTGGAGGTGCCACCCTTGACAAGGACCCTGAAACGCCCCTCCACACCACTGTCAGAACAAGACCCTGATGGCTTTGAGCTGAAGCTCAAAAACTTGTATATGAACATAAACCGTAATCATTTCATAAGTCTCTGTTGAATAGTTTAAAGATAAATGTTGACAGCAGTGAGCATGCCGCGATGGCAATTTGTATTTGAGCATTTTAAACTTGGATTAGACTGAGTAATACAATCTTAGTTATTTACTGACATAAATATGTATTTATATCCTTGTAGGTGATACTGTACAGGTGTTTCAGTTCTGTCTTGGGTTGTAGCCAATTACATTTCAGAAGATCTAAAGGTATCAGCATATTATTGCTTATATGGTGTTAAATGGATTAGCTGAAGGTCCATCCTCTTCATGTTCTATGCTGCAGTGTTACATAAAATTCATGCAAATTTATATAATCTATAATGACTTTGTCTTTTCTATGCTGCATCTAACTCCGTAGCTTTGTCCTTTGATCATTATTAATTTTCTGCTTTTATCTGCCTCAGCTGCTATACTTTATGCATCAATAACCGCTTTTGAAACTTGTTTTCCTTACTTGCATCCCCTGCTAGTGTCTTGTGTTTCCTACCTGACGATAACAGGCCCGCACTGTGCAGGGGGGATTTGGGCACAGAGGTCCTGCAGCTCCAGCAGGTCGTTGGGAGTGAGCTGGTAGGGCTGAGGGGTCGGGTTGTTTGCCAGCCAGCTGTAATCGGCTGTGGACGAGGAGCTCCGGCGGCGACGCCGACCTTCCGCGGCCCTCTCCAACCGGATGCGTTCAGTCCGCTTCACCATGGCCCCCAGCTCCAGCATCAGCGTGTTGGTCACCAGCTCCTGTGTGGAGCGCTGGCCTGGCACTTTGGGTTCAAGGGAGAAAACCGCAGACCAGGGAAACATCTGGGGAAGATAGGATTATAAAATATACTCAGGAGTCAGAATAGAAACGACTTAAATTTACCTCCAGCAGAAATAATAAAGAACATGCAAACTGTTGCTGAACAATACAAAACAAATATACAGTGATTGTTATAAGTAGTCTTACCTTCATTAAAATGGACAAACAAGCTTGTTAGTGTATTCTTGTTGGACCGAAATCCACAGGTTGTTTGCCGTCAGATGAAAGGGAAAAGCAGATGAATGAGAGTCCGGCTGGTGGTACACAACTACCTGACTGCCTGGCTACCGCTGGCGGTCCCTGGCAGACAGTGCGTGTACTCTGGAGGGGTGTGCGTGCTGTGAGTGTGTGAGATTGGGATTGCGAATATGTGTCGTCCTTTATTAATATAGATTGAGTGATGAGATGAGCTTACCTCATGACATTAGTGTTGGCCTGAGTGTTCTGGTTATGTCCGTGTGACTGAACTCGGGTTATGTAACATCATGAGGTTGTGTTGAATTAGATATTTAGATTTAATTGAAATTTGCTTTAACAGCTATTCTGAGCAAGGCCAGATTGAATTGCTGCTTTTGTAAAACAACCTCAATCTAAAAGATTTCATGGCATTTCATGCCTATGCTATGTTGTTATCAGTTTCACATTATTTACTCAGAATCCTATAGTTGTTTGAAATAAAAAAAAAAGCAAAAGCAGCAGCTACGTGTAGCACTTTTGGTTTAGCCCGGGGTGCCTCTGGCAAGATTTTATTTATTGTTTCTACTGAAATGACTGAAATGCAAAATGTTAAGGGGGAAAAACTAGCGCTCACATGATGAAACGTTTCAGATTGGAGTTGTTTTAAGACATAAGCCATCCACCTTTGACCTTGAATAGTCATTAGCTCATGAATTTGGTTAGAATTAAAGTATTTGTTTTCCAAATTGAGGTCTTGCAAGGAGCTAAGCACAACAGGTAAGATGAGAATTGTTCATAATTTTGCCACAGAACTTCACTACTTAAGATCTGAACGATCCTTTTAATGTACAGCTGTGTGGATAGTTTCATGTCAAACCACATTCACAATGTCTGACAGAATCAGGTTCATGTTTCATACAACACACCTGCTACAAACCTTTAAAAAAAACCAGCCAGTCCGAGACACTGTCTCCCACAGGGCAGACAATAATCCTTCAAATTACCCGGCTGTTATTGCCCAGCATTACACTGATATGACATAACAACCCAGGTAATAATTTTGCCACGCACCTGTAAACCCTCAGGTGCTGTCTGTCTGTGAAACCGGCTGTCATGTGGCTCTGTGTGTGAGGAACATTAGGCTACTTCCTGGGTTTCCACACCACTCAGCACTGAGCCACCAAATCCCAGATTACATTCAAATCCAGAGCCTACCTGGAAGAATGATCGTTTGGACAATTATAATCTAATTACTGGTGCCTACGCTCACCTCTGCTGCTATAACCAGGACACATTTACGAATATTATGATCAAAAGCATTTGATTAATAAACTAAAAACATATCAGTCGAAAGCTTACCTCTACTGTAGTTCTTCAGTTTTTAACAAAACAAAAAAACACAAACTGGGAGTGAAGAGAAGATGAGATGTAGCGGTTGAATCAACTAGTCGACTTCTGCATCTCACGAGTTTTTAAATTTCACGTAGACTAGTCGAAGTAACGTGATTGCTGGCTACAAAATGGATTCTTCCAAGCAGATGGAAAGCAACTCAGATTCTAGTTCATCATTGGCCAGTTTGAAACATGGTAGACCAGATATATTAAATGAAATACAACAAACAGTTTCTAGAATCAACTTTACAGTAAATTTATATGGGTTCCAGCATGGGGAATGAAATGGCAGACAGGATGGCTAAAGCGAGCAGCAATCAGGTACTGGTGATATTAATGTTATTTAGTATAACAGAAATAAAAGGTATAATAAAACAACAACAAAAAGAAAGATAGGTGGCAAAAGTTATGGGAGGAAGAAAGGAAAGGGTGGTGGTTTTATAAAATCCAAAGTAAAATTGGAGAAAGAACAGAAAGGAACAGGAGACAATTATTCCACGACTCAGAACTGGGCGCACTGGACTGCAGGGAAATGTGAGTGTGGGGAAGACGAGACAATACAACGCATTAGTTTGCATTGCAGGAGTTACCAGCTTCAGAGAAACAAATTAGTTAAGAATCTTAGTAATATGAAAATGAAATTGGACATTGTTGATTTATTACATAAAGAATTTGGAAGCAGAGGATATCAGGCTATATTTTACTATTCAAAATCGTGTAAGTTGTATAATAGGATTAAAGAAAAAAGAAGAGAAAGGGGAAAGGAAATAATTTTTCGTGTGGTCATGTGATGTACACTCCTTACCAGTTGGTGGCGGTAATGCTTCCTTCAGTTGTTTGCAACCGGCGCAATAATAATAATAATAATAATAAAGAAGAAGAAGAAAACGAAAAAGATGGAAGGCAAAGAGCAGGAACCTTGGCAAACAGGTAGATCAAAAGCGTGGAAGTATTTCACTAAAGATCACTCTTCTGGTTCGACTACCGTAATATGCAAAATCTGCAAAGCTGTGCTGAAGTACAACAATAGTACGACCTCGATGCACAATCATTTGAAAAGGCATCCGCAGATGACGCTAACTCCAGCACAAACCGCTTTCTCCAGTCAACCGTCAGTTACCTCCTTCATCAAACGACCAGGACACCGGCAGCAGCAAATCACCAATTTACTGGTGAGCGAACTTTATTTAATCCACCATCCCCCGCCCCGCTTTTTTAGTTTAGTTTTTTACGTGCCATTTTAAAACAGGCACGTTTCTTTCAATTTTGCAGCTAAATAATAGTTTTGGTTTTCCTGTAATTTATTTGCAGCATGATAAATGGTAGGAGCATAAATATACTCTTCTCTTTTTTTTTTTTGTTATGTTGCATAAATTACGTTTTTTTTTTCCTGTGAATATGGGTAATATGGCGTCTTGAGCCCCTATGACGTCACAACGACTAGTCGACTCGATTTATCGACTCGGCTTTATAAAATATGAAGTCGTGCACACTGCTGATTATCTTCTTGTGGGAAGCCCAAAATATTTCGTTATATTTAGCTAAAAAAAATTGTTTCACCTCTTTTGAGAGACATCCTAATTTTTCACTTTGATGACACAATATCTTTACAAAAATATGACTTGCTTTGGTTAAGACTCAACAGTCATGGAGTCTGTAGTTGCGGTCTTGAAGCGAGACTCTTGACTGGTCTGCCGTTTGTGCAGAAATATCTTTTGAGATGTTTGCAAAAGAACAATTTACCTTAATCCTAAAGCCTAAACAGAGACTTTGGTTTTCAGCTCACACCATCTCAAACATTAAACGGAGCTCAAACTTGTTGGAAGTTCCACATTAAAAAGTTGGTAACAACCTCTTTTAGTCATAATCTCACTGTGAGTCATATTCCTGTTACTAAAACACTGCACTGCATACACAGATGCTGAGTAATTTATAAGCAACCAAAACTTTACATTAAAAACAGAAGCATGGGGATGGAATATATTACTCCAAATAAAAATGTACATTTGATATTTTACAATTTTTACATGAAAATAAAACATCCAGTGGTATGTTATATTTATGAGATACAAAGTCAAAATTTCAGCTTTCAAAGTCATAAGTATGAGATAAAGTCACAATTTTGACTTTGAAAGTCATAATTATGACTTTGTATCTTATAATTATGTATTTGAAAGTCAGAATTATTCATTCATTCAACCTTTGTTTAGACTGGTTAATCCCATTGAGCCTCGAGGACTCATTTACAAGAGTCCTGATTTCAACAAAGAGTGATGACAACAATGGACAACAGCAACAACAATAGACAGTCATAAAAAGGCATACAGATTTATTAATTTTTTTACAAATAAGATGGCCAAAAAAGTAACAAAAACAGGTAAATTATAAAGCAGATTATAAAGCATTATTATTACTTACCAGGTAATAAGGCATATTATTACTTTGAAAGTTGAAATTATGATTTTGAATGTCAAACTTATGACTTTGTATATCTCATAATAATTGTATAATAATAATTGTAACTTTTAAAATCAAAATTTCAATTTTCAAAGTTACAATTATGAGATACAAAGTCATAAGTTTGACATTCAAAGTCATAATTTCGACCAACAGTCATAATTTCAAATGACTGTTAAAGTCGAAATTATGACTTTGAATGTCAAACTTATGACTTTGTGTCTCATAATTATGTCGTTGAAAGTCGAAATTATGAATTTGTATCTCATAATAGAGACTAACCTGTATGAAGGTTGACTGAATGAACAATTATGGCATTCCATTGTACTTAAAAAAAAAAAAAGTTTTCATTTCTTTTCATTGGTGGAAACGGGCTTCCAGACAAGGGCTTACTGTGTGGCGCCATTTCCACTTCTGCTGCGCAGGTGACTGGAAGTTAAAAAGTGTCTGTAGTTTGGAGATATTTTAAGGTAAACACGGATGACATTAAAAAAGTAGATCATCTGCCGTGCTCAGCTAAACTGTTGAGAGGAGGGGCGAACAACAGCAGCTTCGGCACAAGTAATTTGATTAAACACCTGAAGATGAAACATGAGCAGAGTTCAAAGAGTTTGCTGCTTCTAGCAGCTCATTACAACAAACTCTGCAGAAAGTTCTCCAGAAACATAAAAATATGACTCCAGACAATCCACGTGCAGTAATAACTGAAACTCTTACTCAATTCATCGCTCTTGACGAGTGACGACCAGCTGTTTTCAATGGTGAATGATACTTCATCGTGGTTTCAACATTTGACAACATGTTGACAACATCAACAACAACATCAACATTTCGGTTCAGTTCAGTTTCCAGGAGGGCTCAGTTCTGTTAATTTTCGGTACAAAAAATGCCAAAATGAAGACTTACAAAACGTTTATTTTGAAAATATGCCCAGTAAACAATACGTTTGTATAAAAATAAATGAAAGCAACCCATTTGGATGATATTTTAAATAAACTGCACTCTTTACAATAAAGAAACTATACTAACAATAAGAAAAATCTTAATAAATACAATAACAATCCGAACAGTAAGCAGACTTCACAGACTTCTTAGCTGGAGGTGATCTCTGGTGGATTTCCCTGAAGAGGAAGAAGACTCAGCTGCTATCTCTGTCCCAGACTGGAAATAAAACACAAAGAGGTAAAAAAAAAAAAAAAAAAAGAGTTAATAAGATTATAATTTTAAATTAAAAAAAGTTAATTAGATAATAATAATAAAATAACAAAACCTCTTGAACGGTCATCATTTGTTATGAGGTAGGGCTTTAAATTGGGTCCAGGGCTTGTTGACAATATCAGTTTTAGCTTTTTCATAAAGTGCTGCTACAACTTTTTGGCTGAATTGTTGACGTGACGAGATGTCGTAGCGGGGCTCAATAACTTTAAAGTCGGTGCATCACCAACAGAATTCGGACGTAGATCCAGAGCTTTAAACTCCTACAGCTTGTGTTATTGCTTTGCACCGATCTGAAGTACCTGATAAATGTTGTTTAAATGCTGCTGTTATCAGTCTTTGCACCAACCAAGAGACGTTCACGTTCGGATGACGTCGTTTCAAGCGCGTTAACAAGTTAGACGTGTTGCCTGCTGCAGATCCAATCTTTGTGAAACAACGTCGACACACGGCTTTGGTTTTGCGCTTGTCTTTTAACAAGAAAGCCATAATGTTCCCCAACAGGAGACCGCAACGAGATGCTAGGCTGCTAATGCTACACGTGCTGCAAGATAAGAGCGCCGTGCTGAAACACGCTTAGGGACTTTAGTTCCGTGGCGCATAATCTCTCGTTAATTAAATTTAATTAATGAAAAAAATAACTGAAACCGTACGCACGTGGACCGAACCGAACATGCCGTACTGAAACGGTTCAATACACCCACGTGTACCGTTACACCCCTACTGCTGCCAGAGTCTTAACTGGAGTTAGTAGCAGAGATCATATCTCTCCAGTTTGAGCTTCTCTTCATTGACTCCCTGTCAAGTCCAGAATTTAATTCAAAATCTTACTTCTAACCTACAAAGCCCTCAACAACATAGCTCCATCTTATATTCGAGAAATTATTGTTCCATATTTTCCTAACAGAGCACTTTGCTCTCAGACTGCAGGCTTACTTGTGGTTCCTAGAGTTTCCAAAAGCAGAATGGGAGGAAGATCTTCCAGTTATCAGGCTCCTCTCTTGTGGAACCAACTTCCAGTTTCTGTCCATGAGGCAGACACATTGTCCAGTTTAAAACTGGGCTTAAGACTTTCCTTTCTGATAAATCCTATAATTAGGGTTGGCTTTTTATGCTGCTATAAGCTTAGACTACTAGAGGACAAATTGACCTAATTTCCTTAAATGAGTTGTTAAAATTGAATAGTTTCCATTTGATACTATATCTTTCTCAACATGTGATTCTCATCCTGCCATTGTGTATCTGTTCCTCTTTCCTGTTCCTCTCAAACCCAGCCGGTCGAAGCAGATGGCCACTTGTCCTGAGCCTGGTTCTGCTAAAGGTTTTTCCTCATGAAGGAGTTTTTCCTTTCCACTGTCACCTTCGTGCTTGCTCAAGATGAGTGTCTGATGGAGTTAAATTCAAATCAGTCTGCTCCTCAGATCAATAATGTTAAATTATTTATATATATATATATGAATGTTTCTGTTCAGTGCCCTGAGATGACTTCTGTTGTGGTTTGGTGCTATATAAATAAACTGAATTGAACTGAATTGAATTGCATTCAGTTTGACTACAGATGTTTGGACAAACAGTGTAGTCCATTATCTATTATTACTTTTAATTACTGCACAGTGGATTACTGAAGAGTTTACCCTCCAGAGAGCCGTGTTACAGGCAGAGCAGCTTCAGGGTTCACACACTCCATAGCAGGTGCGTTTGACGAAAAGCTTCAGACGAGGAATATTCCCCAAAGTTCTGTTCATGTTGTGCTCAGAAGCAATGCTAAAAAAGATGATAAAGGCTCTGAGGGACACTTGCCTCCCCAACCTCCCGTGTTTTGCTCACACCCTCCAGCTGACTGTTATAACTAGGGGCTTCAACTCTGAGTGTAGCTCAAGTGATTTCTGTCGGATGTAAAATAGATGGACATTTGAAACACTCAACCGTAGCTTATTCCCAGACTGTAGCCATCTAGTTCTAAATAAAAAAAATGTTTTAAGTCATTGTGTAAGGTGTATGTTCTATCCTTACTCGGTATTGATGAGTACACAAACTGAAGTACATACTTGTACTCGGTTTGATTAAAAACCGGTATCGGGCCACCCCTAGAGCTTTAACAGACTACTCGAGTAATCGACAGGTCGATTCCTAGGACATCTATTGAGTTTTTAAATTTCACGTCGAGTATTCGCAGTGACGTCATTGTGTCATGTGATCTGCATCAGGCTACTAGAAGAAGCTACCAAATGAATTCCTCCCAGCAGATGGACTGAGCGGAGCAGGTCCAGTCTTGGCAAACAGGTAGAAATGCATCAATAGTCTGGAAATATTTCACTAAAGATGAATCTTCCAGTTCAACTACCGTAAGGAAACAGAAAATGAATCAACTTCCTGACTATTTGGAGCTCATTGCGAACCGGTGTTGCACCATATTCTGTGACCACCATATATTGTGACCGTAGGGGGCGGTGTTGCATGCACTGTTACAGGTCACAGAGTATGGTGTAACACCGAGTCCAATGACCGAACCAGAACCAGCTTCCTCTGACCTTGTTTTACAAACTAAAAGCAAAAAATATTAATATCTAAACCTATTAAAATAAACCTATAAACATATTAATCTCTAAAACTAAACCTAATGCGCACCACAGCTGGCGGTGGTGCGGGGTGGTCGACCGCCCTGCTGGTTTTAGTTTCGTTTTTGACGTGCTGCACATTATTTCTTTCACTTTTTCAGCTTAATAATAATAACTAATAGTTTTGGTTTTCCTGTGACTTATTTGCAGGATGATAAATGGTAGGGGCATAATATACTCTCCCAATGTTTTGTTGGTCTTTATTCTTTTTGTAAATAATAAATGACGTTTTTTTTTTTCATCTTGAGATCCTATGATGTCATCAACTACTCAAGTTCTACTCGACCTTTATCATGTTCGTGTAGAGTTTAAAAATTATGTAGTCGTTCAACCCCTAGCACCCCTAAAATATTATATTAACCAACTTTCATAGGCTTTGTTAAGCAGAATTTGTTATGCATTATATTGTAGCTTATTGCTCATACTGTTTCTGTCAGTTTAGACAGAGGATCTCTTGAGTTTCTTTTATTTACTAAAGAAATATAATTTATAGAAATATTGATTTATTATTAATCTATCCTTTTTTAGACTTTTTGACTGGCCACACACATTTGTACATGGTTGCATATTAAACAGTATGTGTCTATGTTTTTAGATGCAACACTAATTGCAAAGTACTTAAAATATGTAATAAACCAATATAATTGTACCATTTTCTATGCACCTTGAAATTTCAGTGTGAGCGTCGTGGGGGAAATGAAGAGCAAAACTGTGCAGAGGAGACCGATGACCCAGCTTCATCAGCATCTTCACCTCATCATGAATCATGGGAGAGCACCTCCAACCCCACAGCGATCGCTCCGAAACTGCGCCAGCCAAAAAGGCAGAGGGGTCACGACAAGGCCAACGGCACCGAAATAGAGGAAGATCTTGAGAGGGAGAACGTGGCATTGAGACGAGCAGCAACTAACACTTTTAGTACCAAAGATTCTGATGATCTCTTTGGCAAATATGTGGCCAGCAAGATGCGTCAAATAACCGATGCTGTGGAAAAAATGAAAGCAGAGCGATCTATAACTGCAATATTGTATGCGGCACAAGAAAGGAGCATGTTAGAAAACAAACCTCCGACAGAAGCTTGCGACCCGACACCGCAGCCAGCGTATCAGGATTTCCCACAACACACATCACATACAGACACACTAAATAGTCAAATTAAAGAAGAGGACAAACTCTTTCTATAAAGATAATTTATCTCACTTTTTGATGTTAAAAAGAAACTTTTTTTTTTACAACACATTTTAAAGAAGTCCTGTTCAAATGTGATCTGATCAGCTGCTTTTTTTAAAATTTTTTAAATAACTGATTAAAATGTTTTGAGTGTATTTTAACTGTTACATTAAAAAGTTGCTTTACTAAATCACTTCCTGCTGCCGCGTAACAGAGACTGCAGGTGAGACCAAGTATGTCTTTAATGTAGGGCTGGGCAATATGGACCAACATTGATATAGATATTTTTAAAGATAAATCGCAATATAATACGATGTATATCTCGATATTCAAACCTCTGCTAAGTTCATGGCACAAACCAACGCAGACACGATTCTGTTTTTAGTATTTTACATCGCTTTATAATGTAGCTGTTATTGTTTAGTTTTTTAATCAATTTTCTTTATTTTTTTCACTTTATATACTTTTATGATTGTCTACAGTTGTCATTATTGTCTACTTTTGTCATCATTCTTTGTTATCAGGTCTTTCTTGTAAATGAGTCCTTGAGGCTCAATGAGACCAATAAATAATTAATAATTGTATAAATAAAGGTGGAATGAATTTAAAAAAAATTCTTTCAGTAAAGTAAACAAAAATATATTTCTGAGTCAAAGCTTTGTCCCAGTTGTCACACATGGATATTTATTTACAAATGGCTGTAACTCAACTAAATGTCTAAAAAATAAACTATTTACCGGTACATAATCCTCTTCAGCTGCGCCGCCTTCACGTTAGTAAGCGTGTGTGAAGCAGCACGTGACGGAGAAGGAGGGCTGCGTGAAGATGGACAGGCAGAAAAAAAGAGAACTACAGAGTGATGTGACATAAAGCAGTGGCTTATCATATCTCTTAAGACACGGTCCCTCCCCAGCTACAGGCAGGAGGTGGAACACCTGGAGAGCTGGTGCAGAGAGAATAACCTTCACATCAATGTGAAGGAAACAAAAGAGATGATTGTGGACTTAAGAAGGAACAAAAACATCTACACCCCCCTGAACATAAGAGGATCTGTGGTGGAAGTGGTACTTGGGTGTACACATGAATGACAACCTCAGCTGGAGCAACACCAGCCTGATTAAGAAAGCTCATCAGAGAGACAACTTCCTCAGACGGCTGAGACGAGCTGGTCTGGGAAGCTCAGTCCATGGAGGCTGCACACAGTCTTCTGTGCAGCCTTCACCACTCTCTGCAAAGCTTTTCTTTCTGCAGCTGTGCAGCCTCCATGCCACACGTTGATGCTGGAGCACAGGATGCTCTCCACTGCACACCTGTAGAAGGAGGTGAGGACTGAGCTTCCCAGACCAGCTCGCCTCAGCCGTCTGAGGAAGTAGAGTCTCTGATGAGCTTTCTTGATCAGGCTGGTGGTGTTGTTGCTCCAGCTGAGGTTGTCATTCATGTGTACAC